TTTTTTTTTTTTTTTTGGAGACAGAATGTTGCTGTGTCACCTCAGGTAGAGTGCAGTGGTATCATCATAGCTCCCTGCAGCCTCAAACTCCTGGGCTCAAGTGATCCTCCTGGTACTACAGGCATGTGCCACCATGCCCAGCTAATTTTTCTGTTTTTTACAGAGACAGGGTCTCAATTTTACTCAGGCTGGTCTCAAACTCCTGAGCTCAGGTGATCCTCCCACCTCTGCCTTCCAGAGTGCTAGGATTACAGGTATGAGCCATCGCACCCGCCCGGCCAAGAAGAGGCAAAAGCCTGCAGCACCCGGTATTCTCAGGCGGTTCCCCATCCAAGTGCTAACCAGGTCCGACCCTGCTTAGCCTCTGAGATCAGGTGACATCTGGCACATTCAAGGTGGTATGGCCATAGACTCTTCAGCTGTTTTTAATCTGTTGTTAAACCTATCCATTATGTTGTTAATTACACTTTTTGTATTTTTTAGTTCTGGAATTTTTTAGTACGATTTTTAAAAATTTCAGTTATCTGCCAAAATTCTCCATTTGGTCTTTTATCTCCTTGAACATAGTAAACGAAGCATTTGAAAGTCTCATATCTGTAGTTCCTATTGGCTTGTTTTCTTTGTTTTTTCTCTCTCATCTTTCTCTCTCTTTCTCATTTTTATTCATATTTTTCTCTGTGTACCTGGTTATTTATGATTGTGTGCCAGGTATAGCATTTATACAATTGTTTAGAAAAATTTGAGGCCTAGGTGAGTCCCCTCGGTCTAATTTCAGGGACGGAGAGGACCTAAAGCTGCGCTGCAGTCCCTGGAAGGGCCTGTCTAGTTTACTCTTGGGGTGCAGTCTTTGTGCAAACCCCACCCAAAGCTAGGCCTTCCATCGCCCTTGGCAGGCCTCGGACTCAGATTGCTTTTCCTTCTATGCTTGAGAGTGAGTTCTTATCTCCTCTCAGTCACGCCCTCCAGAATCTGCAGATGCTCCCAAACCCGTGAACTGTCAGACCTGGGAAGGCTCTGAGGCCTTACACAGCACACGCTGCTGTGTAGTCCTTCTAGCTCTGGTCGTCTGGGTTCCTGGTGCCCGGAGCCGGAGCAGTGAGTCTGGTGAGTCAGCGAATGCACGAGCCAGGGTGCCCGCGTTGGGGCATAGTGTTTTTATTTCTGGTTGAGTCTTTTCTGGTTACAGAAGTACTACGTCCATCATACAGTATTCAAACATGGACGGTAAACATTCCCTGGAGTTTCCTCTCCCAGGGTTACCATCGTCAATGCTGGTTTATTTCCTTTACTTCTTTCTTTCCTCTACACATAGACTGCTTTTTTCTTTTTCCAGAAATGGCAAGATAGCACCAATACTGTTTTTTTTTTTAATTTCAAACTCTTGTTTATTAGTGTACCACTTGATCTTAAAAAGAAAAAAAAAGCAGCTCCAAATATAGTCTTATACCATTCTTTAAAGAAGGAAACTGTTCCTTTCAACTTTATACCCATCCCACATCCCAATTTCAGAACACATCATTTAATTGTCATGGTCATGGACATGTCCAAGATGAGATTTTCTATTTCGCTCCCAGAGTCTCGATTGTCGGAAAGCCCATGCTTTCCTTTACTGAAGGAGTTTGGTCCAGCTGATGCTGGCCTGTCCCTTCCAGTGTTCTCCCTCATCTTTGCTTCTGGAGGCGTTTCCTCCGGTTCACCATCTTCGTCTTCATCAAAAGCCTCTGCTACTGAAGGAGTTTTTGCAGTGAGAGTTGGAACGGTTTCTTTAGGCTTACTCGATGCAAGTTAGGTGGGTATAGTGATGCTGTCTCTGTTGTCTGACTACCTGTGGCAAGTCCAAACTTGGAGGTCTTTGTGGGCTTTGCTGGGAGGTCCGCAGCTGCTGCTTCAGCCGATCGCTTCTCAGCGCTGTGACTGGAGCTTTTCCCTCGGAGGCATCACCGAAAGAAACAGTCTTAGTTTTCTCAGGTTTTTCTGCTGCTGCTTCAGGGCCCCCGGCGGCTCCGGCGCGCTGCGACTTGTCAGGCTTCCCCCTCTGCCTTCCCATCCGCCATGTTCCCCGCTGCCACCAGTACTGCTTTGAAAGTGACTTTTGTTCTTTTAGTCTCTTTGCTATCTTTAAGTGTAAGTACTTGTGGGATCTGCCATGCTCTGTTAAAAAGCTGCAGCAACCAAATAGCACCCAAGAAAACGTGAGCATCTACTGTCCTGCCCGTCGTTTGAGAGGTTTGTTTCTCTCCATCCTCATCAGCGATGGGTGTTAATGATCTTTCTAATAGTTGCTGTTCCGATAGTTCAATGGCATCTTGTTTTACTTGCCTTTCTGATGGGTGTTTGTTTAATCGCTTGTTCGTGTACCCATCCATAGACTTCTCCAAAGTGGATTCTTGTCAGAGTCTGTGCTGAGGTGTAGTCTTCCCCAGTGGCCTCCCGGTGGGCAGGGCCCACAGCTCCGCCCCGATATTCATGGCTGCGGGGTGTCTGCTTCTCTCCATCTGGGGGCCCAGAGGCCCCAGAGCATGACCCAGGCCAGCCCCCAACGCTGGCGCTGGTACCGCACTTAGGCCGGGCCGGGGTGGTGTGCTGACCAAGAGTTGGGTTTGGGAGTCAGCCAGACCTGGGTTTGAGTCCTGGCTGGCACCGGCTCAGCCTGATTTTCCTCACTTGGGAAGGTTGGTGAGAAGCAAAGGCAGTGGGGGTGGAGGCCAGAAGGGAGTCAGTGCAATTTATGTGAGAGGCCTGGAGGCCACGGGAAGTGTAGACTACAGAGCAGAAGCCTCAGAGTCAGAAAGAGCTGGGTGCCACATCAGTTCAATCCACTTATCTGCTGTGGACAAGAGCTCTTGCCTCTCAATTTGTTCTCTGTAAATCATATGGCTCAAACAGGGGTGATGACCCTGCGTGAGACCCCGGGGCAGGAGCGGTGGGGGTGGAGAGGAAACAGGGCTGACGGTGGTGCTGGTAGGGAGGGGGGTGAGTCAGAGTGAGAGCCACCAGCTCAGGAGCAGCCTGGGGCCTGGTGTCCAGGCTGCGGTGTCTGGGCCTCAGGCAGCCTTGGCGCACTGTGTGGCCTCCCTGCCTCACCTGGGGTCCACGGTCAGTGACTCTTGTGGCCCTGCCCCCTGGCTCTGTGCCAGGAAGTGCCTGGTGTTAGGCCTGTGGGGCGGGGCTGTGCCAGTGTCACCTCCAGTTTCCTCGAAAGCCCCAGGAGCTCTGAGCTGCTCCCCCCGCTCCCCCTCTAGCCTTGCTTTCTCAAGGACTGGGAGATGCACGTGCACTTCAGAGTCCACGGCTTGGGGAAGAAGAACCTCCACGGAGACGGCATTGCCCTGTGGTACACCCGGGACCGCCTCGCGCCAGGTGGGCAGTGCCCGCTCAGGGCCCTGGGGTGGGGGAGGTGAGTTGGGGACGGTGTGGCTGCTGGCCTACCAGGGAGGAGGGGTGGGCAGGGCAAGGGGGTGGCCCTTGGCTGTGCGGCCAAGGACCTTCCACTGTGCTCTCCTGATAAGAAACTGCCACTTGTCATAGACAAAGTTCTGCACCCCTGCGGGAGCTTGGCCCTGGGAGGACGGCCTCTGACGGGAGAGGAGCAGCTGGGTCCCACAGCTCAGCATTCTGCCCCTTTGTGGCCTGGTTTTGACCATGCTCCTATTTTTGAGGGTTATATTTTTTTAAAAAAACAAGAACATAAAGACTGTGCAACGGAGAACGCATGTGGCCCACAAAGCCTGTTTCCTCTTGGCCCTTTACAGAAAGTTTGCAGCCCCTGGTGTAGAGGGTAGAGCCTCCCCTGTAGGGGTCCTTCCTGCAGCTCCACCTGTGTTTCGTAGACTGGGTAGCCCTTTGGCACCTGCCACTCACCTCAACACGTGGCCAGGGAGCTGCCCCTCATGGTTCAGCCTTCAAACTTGAGGCCCCTCTGCTGTGCCCTAGACCCCCTTCCACTCCAGCTTTTCCCTTTAGAGGTCCCTTCTCTCCTGGGGTGTGGCCCGTGATCTGGGCTCTCTGGCCCCCTACCCAAATGGGCATTACTTGCCTTCAGGTACCTGTGGGACAACCCCTGTATCTCCCATTGTGAGAGCATCTCCTTACAATTGCAGGGCCTGTGTTTGGAAGCAAAGACAACTTCCATGGCTTAGCCATCTTCCTGGACACGTATCCCAATGACGAGACCACTGAGGTAGGCCCCTGCTCTGTCCTGCCAAGCAGGAAAGGAAGGACTGGGCAGTTGGCTAGAGGACGGGGACTGAGACTTCCCCCTGGTGCCAGCACAAAAGGAGCCTCCAGGGATTGGGGTGGCGGGTGCCCTGCTCCCCCGACAGGCGGGACTGGTCTTGGAGTAACCGGTGTCTTGGTCCCAGCGCGTGTTCCCGTACATCTCGGTGATGGTGAACAATGGCTCCCTGTCCTACGACCATAGCAAGGATGGGCGCTGGACCGAGCTGGCGGGCTGCACGGCCGACTTCCGCAACCGGGATCACGACACCTTCCTGGCTGTGCGCTACTCCCGGGGCCGCCTGACGGTGAGCAGACCGGAGGGGCTGCCGGCAGGCCTGCTCTGGGTCCACAGGGGGTCGGGGAGTGGGCACCAGGCCTGCGGGGTGCTTGACGCGCTGGCGCCCACAGGTGATGACTGACCTGGAGGACAAGAACGAGTGGAAGAACTGCATCGACATCACGGGAGTGCGCCTGCCCACCGGCTACTACTTCGGAGCCTCAGCCGGCACCGGTGACCTGTCCGGTGAGTTCCGGCTGAGTGAGGAGTCCCTTCTCAGCCCGCATCTTCCCTGCCGTGTGGGGAGCTGGCTCCCGGTAACGACTCACCTTCCTTGTTTGCTTCCACGCCCGCCTGGCCTTCCTGATCTTCCCGTCGTCTGTCGATGTTGCCTGTCCGGGCCTCGGTCCTTGAGCAGTCTCTTGGCAACCTTCCCCGTCCACAGGAGGCTTTGCATTTAGGTGATGTCGACTCCGAGGTTTCTGTCTCCAGACTCGCGTTAGCCGCAGCCTGCGCGCCGTCTCCCCTCGGCCGTTCACCTCAGCCCCGGTGTGTCCGCTGCTGAGGACCAGGGTTTCCGTGGCGCCTCTGTTTGCTCAGGCCAACAAGTCTTGGTGTCATTCTGGACTCTTGTTCTTCCTCCCGTGGCACCTTTAATCCATCAGCAGGCCCCGCGGCTTTCTCTTCACAGCGCATCCCACCATGTCTCACCCCCGTAACACCTGCAAGGTCCAAGCCACCTTCCTCTCCCACTTGGAGGACCACGGGGCCTTCCAAGTGGTCCCCTCCTTCCATGCCAGCCCGACCGCCTCTTCCCGGCACAGCAGCCTAGTCCTGCTCAGCTCGCGCGGCCTCCCCCGCTCTGCCTGCCATCTCACCGGGTCAGGGCTGCCGTGGTCCAGCAGTGGTCATCCGCTCCTCGGCCCCGCCACCTCTGACTCCTTGCTCACTGCTCCCCCTGCGTGCCAGGCCTCCAGCTGCCGCTCAGATGCAGGACACACCTGCACCCTCCTGCTGTAGGCCTTCGGACTAGATGTCTCACCCTGGTCTCCTAGAGTCTTGCCCAAATGTCACCTCAGTGGCCTTCCTTGATTTCATCATTTAAAATCGTACCCACTCCAATCCCCACACGCTCCCGTCATCTTTCCTGGCCTCGTTTTTCTTCATAACATTTACCATCTTCGAATCTATCATATAATTAATTTTATTATCTCCGCCCCGCCCCCGACTAAACCGTAAGCTCCATGAAGTCAGGGATCTGTCTTGCTTGGCCCATGGTGGGTGCTCAGTAAGCACTGGGGTGCCTTTAACCCCTGTAGGCCTTGCTGGGTCACGAGACCTGCTGGCACTTGATGGTGGCCCTTGGCTGTGGTTCTCGGTCCTCTATTTGGGGTCCTCAGGAGGGACCAGGCCCAGGCCCAGCTCCTGCAGACCAGAACTGGCACACGGAGGACCTGACAAAGGGTAGTTTATCCTCACAGTAAACCTTTTCAGGGCCTGTAATCTGCGCGCTGGCCAGGACCCTCCCCTCTCACTATGGAAGTGCTTGGGTCCACTTAGACCGCAGAACAGTTATTGTTTGGGATTTTGTACTAAAGTTTTTAATATGGAAATTTCAGTTATGTGCCTAAAAGAGGAGACAATGGTCTAACAAGCCTCCCTGTTGCTGTAAACACCCAGCTCGTGCCTGGCTAATCTTGTCTCATGTGGCTCCACCGTAACCCTTTCCCCTGAAGCTCCCCGGGTTGCCTTGGATTTCGTCTGCCAGTATTTCAGCACGTGTCTTCAGAAGGTTCCTGACAGGAGCAGAACCAGCTCTGGGGCAGGGGAAGCTCGCAGAGGCTGTTGGAGAGCTCAGTGGAGAGTGGTGGGGATGGCCGCGAGGGTGGCTCTGACCACGCACGGGGGCTGTCAGTGCCGGGTGTCTGGGGGGCCGTCACATCATGTATTCTGGTTAGGCAGGTAGGGGCCTCGTTGCCTTTTCACACAACTGAGACCAAGGGGAACTTGAGAGTTGAAGGGATTTTCCCCAGGATGACAAGCAGGAAGCAGCAGAGCCCAGGTGGCAACTGGAGTCACTCCAGAGGTGTTCCTTGTCGCACGGGGCCACTCCACCTCCAGGGCTGTGCACGCTCGGCCCTGCCCATGTGGCTGCTGGCTCCCTGCTGTTAAGTTCTCCCTTTTCTGGGCTCCAGAAATTTCCCTCTTGTAAACAGGCGTTGTCTCAGATTCCAGTCTGTTAGCTGAACTCACAGCCGAGTCAGGCTGGCCGGGACCCATGTCTGGGCTCTTAGCTCAGTCTCCTCATCTCTAAAATGGGCAGTCAGTTATTACAAGCAGAGGCGCATGGACATGGCCCCTCCCAGCTCTCCTCAGGCTCAGTCGCTGTGCGTTAGGGTTGAGCCCGTAGCTGGTCGCAGAGTTGTTACCTGCGTCCTGTACATGGCTCTTTCATAAGAGCGTCTGGCGGCTGCCAGCCCTTGGGAGGATCAGGGCGCTGGCCCTCGCCTGGTTTCTAAGTATGTGCCTGTCGGGCAGGAGATCTTGTGTGTTAGCGCATGTTCTCATTTACTCACCCTGACAACCGTACTAGGTGGAGATTATCACTGCCGTTTTAGAAACGAGGAACTGGCCCCAAAGAGGGCAGCAGACCCGGGATTTAGACCCAGATGATTTGCTTATGAAGCTCCTACTCTTCTCTCCGCTCTGCCTCCTCCCAGGTTTCTTACTGCTCAGTTCTGGAAGATTCCAGCCCCTAGATGCCGCCTGCTGGGGGCTGGGCAGGAGCAGCACCCTCCCTGGGGCCTGGCCAGTGTGTGTGGTTGGGGCAACAGCTTCTCTTTGGGGAGGACCTTGGGCCATGTGCCCTGAGGCTGGCTGGCTCTAGGTTATGACAGGTTAATTCTCGGTCCACAGACAATCATGACATCATCTCCATGAAGCTGTTCCAGCTGATGGTTGAGCACACACCTGATGAGGACAGCATCGACTGGACCAAGATCGAGCCCAGCGTCAGTTTCCTCAAGTCTCCCAAAGGTGCGTGTGCCCAGCCCCTCCCTGCCCGGGCCTGGGTGGCCTGGCATGTGGCCGGGTGAGGCTGGCCTTGGGTGGTCCTCGCCTGGTCCAGTTGTGGTTGTGGTCTGGGCTCTTGGGTCAGCCCTGTCCCTGGCAAGTGGCACTGGCTGGTCCTGCCTGAGCTCCTGGAGGCCAGGAGCTTGGGCCTGGTCAGCTCCAGTGAGTTTTGAGCAAATGAATGAGGCAGAAAAGAAGTCTTCAGAGAGTCTGTCCCTGAGGACACCCTAGCTGTGTGGTTTCTGTTGAAGCAAGGACAGTCAATCAGCGAGCGGATGAGCACTGGGGTCTGCTTCCTCCTGTGCTGGCTGCGGGGGATAATGGCTAGGAAAGCCGTGGTGCAGGCACCTGCACCTGCCCCCCGTGAGCCACCTGCAGGTAGGTGCTGCTGCTGGCCCGGGAGTGGATTCCTCAACTTTCCTCGCTGGAAAGGGGCAGAGCCAGGATGTTAACTTGTGTTTCTGCAAAACCCAAGGCCTGAGTTCTTCCCGGGCACTAATTAGCCACCACTCTGTCCTCACAGGGAGGACGTTCTGTGGGAGGAATAAGGTGCGGGAGTGGAAGCGCGGGCTCTGCGGGTGGGGGCCCGGAGGCCCAGCCCCAGGTTCCCGGGCTGAGTGTGGGGCCCGGGCCTTTCTACCTTTAGGAGAAGCCAGAGCCCCGTGTTTTATGTGACGTCTTGCTTTTATAAGATGCAGATTGCTTTCAGGTGTTTTGGGGGCCGAACAAACCCTGCTGTAAACCGCCACTTTGCAGCCTTTGGCCAGAGGGTTCCTGGCTGCTGAATGCGTCCACAGACGGTGTCGCCTGCCCTGCTGGCATTCCTTCTCAGGCTCACCGACCCACTTGTTCCTTCAGCAGATGCTGCCAAAGCTCACCCGTGCCCAGCCGTGGCTGGGCGTGGGTGAGGGAGTCACCTGGTGTCAGGACGGTTAGACCCGCGTCCCGGGAGCACAGCCCGAGCCTGCCCCGTTTGCCGTGCCCTTTCAGCTCCTGCTTTCTCCTCCCACAGACAACGTGGATGACCCCACAGGGAACTTCCGCAGCGGGCCGCTGACGGGCTGGAGGGTGTTCCTGCTGCTGCTGTGCGCGCTCCTGGGCATCATCGTGTGCGCGGTGGTGGGGGCCGTGGTCTTCCAGAAGCGGCAGGAGCGGAACAAGCGCTTCTACTGAGCGGACGCGCCTGGCCGGCAAGGCCCTGACCTTGGGCCCAGGAACTAATGTGAACTTTTTTTTACTGGGATTGTAAAAGAACAACAGATGACCTTATTTCTTTCTTAACTGTTTCAAAGAAACGATTAAAGTATTTTCGTACATTTTGCTTCTTGCCCAGCAGGGCCAGGGATGAGGGTCTGGTGTCCCTGCAGCGGGAGCGGAGGCTGTCCCAGGGCCGCCGTCTCAGGATGGGGGCTGTGCCTGGTGCTGAGCCGAGGCCCCTGCAGGCAGCTGTTGAACACTGGAGGGGTCCCCTGACCGCGTCGGGGTGGGCTCCCGAGGACACGGGGCGGTGCTTTGTCCTGTGGGGGGGGGGTGTGGCAGTGGACGTGCCCAACCTGGGTGACCTGAGCTGCTTCCCAGGGCGGACACTCGGGCAAGGCTGGAGGGACAGTTTGCTGGGGCCCAGGGTGTGACCATTTGCGAAATAAAGTGACTTACCCAACCTCAACCTTTGACTGTCCTGAGGGACTTGCTCTTTTCTCCTCACGACTCGCAGCCAGTGCTTCCCGGCTGTCGGCCTCGGGGAGGAGGCGCCGCGCCTGCCCCGTTCCCCAGGTGGGGAAACATGGCTCTCGGAGGTCCCAGTGTCACTCAGCAAGTGATGTTTTAGGGACAGGGCCCCTGCCATCTCCCGCAGGTGCGAGGCCTCTGGGTGAGAGGATTGGGGGTGCATGGGGCACCATGCGGGCGGTGCGGTGGCAGCGAGCTCCGGCATGATGTGCAAGGGGCTGGGGGGCCAGGAAGAAGGCAGCGGTCGGAGGTGGCAGTCCCTTTGCGGTACCTTGGGGGACAAAGATGGTGACCGGCAGTGGAGGGAAGTGGCAGCTGAGGGGGGTCACTGCCCCCGCAGCTTCCATGCCCTCTCCCCCAGGCTGTGGTCTGCTGCCGCCGCCCAGGCCTCCCACCGTGGAGCAGCCCAGAGCGCCGGCTCTAGTCCTGGCCCGGGCCCTCAGGCACCTTGCCGAGTCGAGCTCTCTGCGTCGTCCCTTTGCCGCTCAGTTTGCTAACACCCGAGACTCCCTCTTAAAAGCAAAAGCAAACCTTACCTTCATGCTGCAGCTGTGAACATTACAAATATTTTCACTGCAAAAAATACCGACAGTAGAAAAGGCCACGAAGCAAAGCGAGAGTAAGAATTCATTTCCCCTCAGTCCCTCAGCCTCACTCTCCAGAGCCCTGCGTCAACCCACCAGGGTCCACCTCCTCGGCCTTCCCACGTTTCCCACGCGTGCAGGCGCTCCCTTCCGCAGGCTGGACGCCACGGCATGTTACGCGGCCGCTGAGAGCTGCCGGCTGTTTCCTTCGCAGGTGTGGGAGCCTGTTCACGAGCCTTAAGAGTAATCGTGATTCTCATTGAAATATTTTATTGAACACTTTCCCAAAACAATTTCTTTGCTTGAAAAAGTAGCAAAGATTGAGTGCTTACTGTATGCCATTCTTCTGAGCCGTCGGCACATATTAACTCATTTCATTCCGCAGCACCCACACAGATGCCAGAAATCCATGAGGTTAGGTGGGGGACGTGTCCAGGCGGACATGTCTACATCGACCTGCAGAGCTGAGGCCCAGAGTCTGGAACTCTCCATGGCTGCTACAACCACATCATCAACCACGGCATAATGGTCAACACACTCACCATAGTTGACCTTTAAGTTTTGGCTCTAACTTGGCCTCCTCGAATTCCTGAATTATTAGATAAATTGGTATCCTGTGCTGTGTGGCTGTCGGCCTTGGCTGCACGTTCGTTACCTGGAGAAGCAAGAAGCGCCTGCCGCCTTCTCCACTTGAGGTTCAGCAGGTCAGGTGGAGCCGGGGCAAGGGCAGTTTTAAAAGCTCCCGGGTGGTTCTAACGTGGGTCGAGACTGGTGATTTGCAGCAGGCATTCAAGTGATCCTGTGGTCTGCGCTTGGCTGTCAGGGTGCCCCTTCTATCAGCACAGAGCCTTGTTTGCGTCCGGAACGGTCGACACCTAGAGGCACCTTCCTGGAGGGAAGGTGTGTTCTTACGTCCGAGTCTCGCACGTGGGCGTGATGCCATGATCTGTGTTTTGCCATATGTGTTTAAAAGCTGAGGTATTCCATCACACAAAAGTTAAATATAAGCATGTGCCCACATCTCTGCTGTGCAACGTGAGAAAGTGCATATTGCCGACGGGCTGGATCCCTCTGTGCCTGCCCTCAGAGGTGATCACTGCTGCATCTGACTCTTTAGGCGTTTCATAAAAATGTTGCCAGTGGAGGTTTTGTTTTGTTTTTTTTGAGACGGGGTCTCAGTCTGTTACCCAGGCTGGAGTGCAGGGGCAGGATCATAGCTCATCATAGCCTCAAACTCCTGGCCTCAAGCGATCCTCCCACCTTGGCCTTCCAAATCGCTGGGATTGCAAGCGTGAGCCATCGTGCTCAGCCAAGCATCTTAAATACGTTGTATTGTTTTACATTTGTAAAAACAATAAGTGGTATATAGGTATGTTCTTCAACTTTTAAAATCCAACACTGTATGGCTCAAGGTGAGTGCTTCTAGCTGTCGTGTGCAGTGTGAAGGGACTCAGTTTCTCCATTCAGCTACTGACGGACATTTAGGTGGTTCCCTGGTTTTTGCTCTTAAATACAATGGACGCTGCTCTGAACGATCTCAGACACCTCTTCTAGCACAAGTGTGTGAGAAGTGCTGGGTGGTTACTCAGGTCATTGCAGATGGTGTCCTGCTGCTGTCCAGACTAGGCTGCGTCCACTCTGCCCGCCGAGGTGTGCGCCTGTGGAGATCCCCTCCACCCGCCTCCTAGCACCTACTTGGCCGGAGTTTTCGATTTCTGACAATCTCATGGGTGCAAAGCTTCAGTTTGTGTTTCTCCACTAGTCGGGTTGGGGCCTTTGTGTAGTCACTTGCATTTCCTGTGTGGCGGTCTGATTTGGGCCCTCCTCTTTGCTTACTCGTGCATGGTGTCCCTGTGTAGTGCTGCTCTGGTTGTGTGCTTTGCAGACACCTTCCAGCGTGCTTGGCTTTTTGCTTTTCTAATGATGTTATTTGATAGTCTAAATTTTAATGTCAGTTCCTAATCTTTTCCAAAGCTTTAAAATTTTGCTTTTCAAATTTAGCACTTCATCTGTATGGTATTAATTTTTGTGAAGGGTGTGACATAGGGATTCTGTTTCCCCCACTGTCTCCAGCCAGTTGTCCCAGCGCCATTTACGGACCTTCTCATCCTTCCGCACCACCTGAGGCCAACACGCAGTCGGCCACGCAGCCCTCAGTGCTAATGCTGCCCCTCACCCTCCTCCTCTTTGGCGGCTGGAGGCCCGCAGTGAACTCCCGATGTCTTTCCAGCGAGGGCGGCCCTGTGCGTGCTGCGGCCAGTCAGGCTTTCGATTTCCCAGTGTGAAGAGTGTCTGAGAGCAGCTGGTGTGGCTGTTTGCCTGTCCCCATCCTCCTGCCTGGACTGTCGCAGGGACCCCGAGTGTGCAGAAGCCACCTGTGGTCACGAGCACAGAGGCGAGCACAGGGGTGAGCGCAGGGAGCTCGGCGAGTGTGAGTCCCTGACACAGCTGAGCTGCTGCCCCGCCTGGACTGCCCCCCGCTGGGTTTTTTTTTTTTTTTTGAGACAGAGTCTCACTGTGCTACCCGGGCTAGAGTGCCGTGGCGTCAGCCTAGCTCACAGCAACCTCAAACTCCTGGGCTCAAGCAATCCTCCTGCCTCAGCCTCCCGAGTAGCTGGGACTACAGGCATGCGCCACCATGCCCGGCTAATTTTTTCTATATATATTTTTTTAGTTATCCAGATAATTTCTTTCTATTTTTAGTAGAGACGGGGTCTGGCTCTTGCTCAGGCTGGTCTTGAACTCCTGAGCTCAAACAATCCACCCGCCTCGGCCTCCCAGAGAGCTAGGATTACAGGCGTGAGCCACCGTGCCCGGCCCCACCGCTGGGTTTTTATGTGAAGAAAATAAATCTATGTTTGTTCAAACTACTGGGAGTCATGTTTTCTGTTATTTGTGGCTAGAAGCACTGCCTCTGTCCTCTGTGTCTTCGACACACACGGTCTGCTCCGCAGCTGCTGTGCACGTGCCCATGCCCATCCTGTGCCGCGCACTGCCTTAGGCCCTGGGCTCACACCAGAGAACAGAGGTGCAAAAGTCTTTGTCCCCTGAGAGCTTGCGGTCCAGTAGGGAGACCGGGGACCAGTAAGCAAAACGCGCAGGAGGTTAGGCGACACTTGTGTGAGTTTCTTAGGGCCGCCGTAACACAGTGCCGCAAAGTGAGTGGCTTCCACAACAGGAAGTGGTCTCAGTTCTGTAGGCGGGAAGTCTGAGATGGAGGTGTTGCCAGGGCCACGCGCTGTCTGACGACTCCAGAGAATCCCTCCTTGCCTCTTCCTGGCTTCTGGCAATTCGCGGTGATCCCTGAAGTCCTTGGCTGTGGACACATCACTCCGGTCTCAGGTTCCGTCATCACATGGCCGCTTCACATGGTCGTGCCGCTGTGCATGTCTGTCCCAAACTTCGCACTTTACACGGACACTAGTCATTGGATCAGCGCTCCCCTCGATGGCCTGGTCTTAACTTGGTGAATCTACATAGACCCTCTTTCCAAATAAAGTCACTTTCTGAGGTCCTGGGGATTAGGACACAAACATATCTTTTTGGGGAGCAAAATTTAACCCATAACAGTGGTTAAAGGAGAAAAAAAAATTAATGAAGAGGCTACGAAGAGTCAGGTGGGAATGGGGAAGCCTGCGATCCGAGTGACAACCTTGGGAAACCAGGGGTGAAAATCCGCTGAGCAGGACACTGAAGGTTACGCATCTCCCGTGAGTGATGCACAATTAACATTAAAGAGATGATGCGTTTCAAAAGGGCGGCTTTATTGTAAGGATCTCATGATCAGTATTGGGCAGTCCTTGACGTTGTCAACAACACTGATAATGCACACGTGCACTGAGGTATTTCCCATGGTTTTATCACAGTTCAATTTTCAATTTTAGTTCCCTTGTGGACTAAAAGCTAACTAATTCAACAAATCTTCATTAAACCCCGACTGACTTAGGCACTAGGCAAGGGATACACAGGTCCCGTTCCTGTCTTCACAGAGCGCAGGGG